CGGTCATCGCCCAGCGACAGGATGTACCCCTAGTGTGTATGATTATAGAGTAAATGTGGGATATCCCCCAAATAAAGGAGAATGAAAAGCCATGATTGTGTCGGGTAAGTCCGGCGTAGTTCCCACTATGCAACTTCGAACTGCCCAAGCTGGTCGGCGATTAGATATGTCATGGTGAAGTCGTCGCTATAACCATCAAGGGCGATCAAACTTGGGGGCCTGTATGTTGACCCCCGAACTCACCACGCCCATAGGACAAATAGCTGCTACTCCGAACTCGTGTTCAGAGAGAACGGAACGCCACCTACGCACGGGGAATCGTTAGGTTACAATAGGGCCGAGCCCTCTATTCGGTTCGGCGACAAGCTCAAAAAGCGCATTAACGCCTGACAAGACCCGCAACCACTCACCGGTCGGGGACACGCGTCACTTCCCCCACTCCCAGATTATCTTCGAGATACGACGCCATCATTGAACATTAAATGAACGGAATCATTACTAGATTTGGAAAGGATTTTGTACTACACCTAGTAGTAGTACACACACATGAACAGTGGAGGATAGTACACCCCCTATAAATATCAGCTTGTAAACTGAGCAAAAGATCTTTTGGCTAACAAAAGATAAAATTGAAAACTTCCGCCGAACTCACAGTTCAGTTCGGCACTCTTGTGTGAAATATAAAAAAATAGTAAAATCTTGACAGTTCTCAGTATCTAGCTTCCGACCTGGGTTGCTACGAAAATTGTTGGTAACAGAATTAAAGTAAAATGATCTAACAGTCCTTAAATTCACAGCACCATCAACTGTGTAAAATGCACTGTAGGCACCCCCCCCAATCCCAAAAAAAGGGATCCGGGGCACCAACGGTGCATACTTATATTGCATACTCTGCTGTGCTTTATAAAGACCCTTACATCAGGTTAATTTAATCAAGTGGTCCAAAATTTATGAAAGAGGGAGACTTATATTATTTTAAAGTGTAAGAGGAGAGATGATGTTTCACACTTTTCTTAACCCCTTTCTTATTGATTTCAAGGAATAAGGGAAATCTCAAAATTCAAGAATTCCTTTTTATTCCGTAGAGATATGAATTTATAAACTACTTAACATAATACCTGATTATTATTTTATGCACTCTCTTTTTATGTAAAGAATAATGTGTGAATGTTAGTAAAATATATAAATAATCTCTGATAAATTCACATTAAGAAACTATTTCATAATACATTCGATATTTATCCACCAAAGAAATTTCATACGTTATATTGAAAGTGGGATTGATGTATTTATAATATTTTAACTGTTGGTAATATTATATTTTATATTTCTATATAGTTTTTTTATCTAATTTTTTTATATAGTAAATTTGTAAAATCACTTACAAAATAGGAGTGACAACATATTAATAGTCTTTTGCATAGTTTTTAAACTCGGCCCGGGAATCGACCCGGACAGGTCTCCGGGTCACCGGTTCAACCGCCGGGTCGCCAGGTCAATTGTTGACCCGGATAATTAATTTAAAATTTTTAAAATTATATATAGAGTATTTTGTCATATAAATATACATAAAAGTAAAAAAAAATAAATGTTTTGTATATAAAATTTGTACACTAAAGTGTTAATAATATTTATATGTACATAGTTTTTATTTTAAATCAAAAAATATTTTTAAAAAATAAAAAATAAAAAAATAAATATTTGGTCGGTCAATCAGGTTGGCCCAACCAGGTCAATGAGCTGGGTCGACCGGGTTAAGGCCGAGTTGGCCGGGTTTTGATCGGGTTTAACCGGGTCCATTGTTGTCCGGTCCAATTAGCCCACCCAGACCGGGTCCGACTCCGGGTCGACCGGGTCTCAAAACTATGGTCTTTTGAAAAGTTTATTTATTTAAAATTTTACAAGTTTTATATTTTCAATTATATATTACTAAAAAAAATAATAGATTGATATTTTTTATTTTAAAAAGTGTATGTTGCAATTATGTTATTTCTTAGTTAAAATAATAGTTTGGATGGCCCTTTATTTTATCAATCAATGTAATATTATAAAATTAATATTTAAAAGTATTTTTATTTAAAAATGTAATGTTTACAAATGTTGGACAAATAAACATTTTCAAAGTTCAATTAAATTATGAAGTTCCTATTGAACAATAAAGTTCCCCACCCATTATAGTTTCAAACTAAAAAAAAAATAAAATAAAAAAATAGGGCTAGAAATATGAGAAGAGGAAAAGAACGGTTGCGGAAATAAAGGAAAAGAGAGCAGGAATTAGAGAAAAAAATGAGATGAAAGATAAATAAAATAAGAGTCATAGGATTAACTTTAACGATCCTTAAATTCACAGCACCATCAACTGTGTAAAATATGCACTGCAGGCCCCCCAATCCCAAACAAAGGGATCCGGGGCACCAACGGTGCATACTTATATTGCACACTTTGCTGTGCTTTTTAAAGACCCTTAGATCAGGTTAATTTAATCATGTGGTCCAAAATTTATGAAGAGAGAGACTTATATTATTTTAAAATGCAAGAGGACAGATGATGTTTCACACTTTTATTAACCCCTTTCTTATTGATTTCAAGGAATAAAGGAAATTTCAAAATTCAAGAATTCCTTTTTATCAAAAGAATTTCGTAGAGATATGAATTTATAAACTACTTAACATAATACCTGATTATTATTTTGTGCACTCTCTTTTTATGTAAAGAATAATGTGTGAATGTTAGTAAAACATATAAATAATCTCTGATAAATTCACATTAAGAAACTATTTCATAATACATTCGATATTTATCCACCAAAGAAATTTCATACGTTATATTGAAAGTGGGATTGTTGTATTTTAAATATTTTAACTGTTGGTAATATTATATTTTATATTTTTATATAGTTTTTTAAATTAATTTTTTTTTTTTTTATATAGTGAATTTGTAAAATCACTTACAAAATATGAGTGACAACATATTAACAGTCTTTTGCATAGTTTTTAAACCCGGCCCGGAATTGACCCGGACAGGTCTCCGGGTCACCGGTTCAGCCGCCGGGTCGCCAGGTCAATTGTTGACCCGAATAATTAATTTAAAATTTTTAAAATTATATATAGAGTATTTTGTCATATAAATATACATAAAATTAAAAAAAAAAATAAATATTTTGTATATAAAATTTGTACACTAAAGTGTAAATAATATTTATATGTACATAGTTTTTATTTTAAATCAATAATATTTTTAAAAAATAAAAAATAAAAAAATAAATATTTGGGCCGAGTCAACCGGGTTGACCCAACCAGGTCAATGAGTCGGGTCGATCGGGTCAAGGTCGGGTTAGCCGGGTTTTGACCGGGTTTAACCGGGTCCATTATTGTCCGGTCCAATTAGCCCACCCGGACCGGGTCCGACTCCGGGTCGACCGGGTCTCAAAACTATGGTCTTTTGAAAAGTTTAATTATTTAAAATTTTACAAGTTTTATATTTTTAATTATATATTACTAAAAAAATAATGGATTGATATTTTTTTATTTTAAAAAGTGTATATTGCAATTATGTTATTTCTTTGAGATAGTTAAAATAATAGTTTGGAGATGGCCCTTTATTTTATCAATCAATGTAATATTATAAAATTAATATTTAAAAGTATTTTTATTTTTAATGTAATGTTTACAAATGTTGGACAAATAAACATTTTCAAAGTTCAATTAAATTATGAATTTCCTATTGAACAATAAAGTTCCCACCCATTACAGTTTCAAACTAAAAAAAAAGAGGAGTTTTATCAATACAAGGCCCGAAAGATGAGTAAACTATCAATGCGGGGCCTGAAAGATTTTTTTTCTCAATTCGGGACATAAATGTTATAAAACTATCAAATTAAGTCTAGAATTAACAAAACTCATAACACAATTAAATTTAGAGTTTAAGAAAAAAAATTGGTGTTTAAATTTAGAGTTTAAAAAAAAAATATAATATTTAATTATTACATTTTATTTTCATATTCATTCACATTTTTAAAAATTTTGCATTCTTCCATCAATTTTTCTACTCTTTAACTCACTTTTTCATTCAAATATTTTTTTTTACATAATTTATAATCAGTCGTACTCTTGAGTATTTGTCCTCATAAATATCTGTGTTTGTTGTTAAAAAGAATAATGCAAGTAATTATATTAAGTAAATAATTAATTTATTTTTTATATTTAAATTTGACTATTATGCTTATTGAAATTTCATTCATATGCATTGATAGTTTAAAAATGTGAATGAATATGAAAATAAAATGTAATAATTAAATATTATATATATATTTTTAACTCTAAATTTAAACACCAATCTTTTTTTTTTTTTTTAATTCTAAATTTAATGATGTTATGAATTTTGTTAATTCTAGACTTAATTTGATAGTTTTATAACATTTAAGTCCCGAATTGAGAAAAAAAATCTTTCAGGCCCCGCATTGATAGTTTACCCATCTTTCAGGTCTTTAATTTGATAGTTTTATAACATTTAAGTCCCGATTTAAGAAAAAAAATATTTTAGGCCTGCATTGATAATTTACCCATCTTTCAGGCTTTGTATTGATAAAACTCTAAAAAAAAATAGGACTAGAAAAATGAGAAGAGGAAAAGAACGGCTGCAAGGACAAGAAAAAAGAGCAGGAATTAGAGAAAAGAATAAGATGAAAGATAATAAAATAAAAGTCATAAGATTAAAGTAAAATGATCTAAGGCTATGTTTGGTTCAACTGAGGGGAGGGGAGGGGAGGGGAGGGATTTTAATGAAAGGAAGGGGAGGGGTGGGAAGGTGATGTAAAGTAATTTTACCATCACCTGTGTAATATGCACTGGAGAGTGCAGGCCCCCCAATCTAAAAAAAAGACGATCCATATCCACCCTGCTCTTTCCTTTTGCTCCTGGCACTGTAAACACATTGTCAGCCATAATCCGCCTAAATCCTGCTTCATTTATATCTTTAATGTCAACTCTCTGTGAAGAAGTATGAGAGTGTCCAACCCTAATTTGCGCGTGACTAATCAGGTTCAGCTTCTATCACTATTTCTTCTCTTTCTTCCGATTTGATAAATTCGCAAGTGTCTGTTTGTTTTTTGTGGTTTTGATTCGCCAAGACTGGTTTATGCAGTCCTCAGTGCCCAGATCTACCGAGGAAAAAGTCGGCATTCGTTGCGATGATGATTTCTGTAGAATCGAGGAATTGATTAAAGCCAACACCTTTTCTAGGTACTTGTTATGCTTCAGAAAGTATGCCCTAACTTTGGTGTTGGAAATTTGATTTCTGGCCTTTTCATTTTGGCTATCACGTAATTAGTAGGTAATATAGTCGATAAGATAAGAGAAATCGTATTGTCGTTTTTTTTAATGCTATGGATTAGGTTCAATTGAGTATGCTTTTTACATGGAATGCTTTGAATTGGCGCAAAATGTCGAGTTTAATTGAATGGTGGTAGGGATTGTTTTTATGGATTTGTAGTGCTAATTGTTTATACAAGTGTTTTCGCTATTTTCTTTGCCTTTGTGGTTGTAGTTTTATGTCTGAAGTTTGAAAATCTTATGATGTTATTTTATTCTAAATGTTGTATATATTGTTATAAATAATATAATGTTAATGCTTGGGGCATTCTAGCGTAATGATGGGGGCATTCAAACATTCGAAATGTTATCTATTGAATCTATGTACTAATCAAGAAGAGGAATGTGTTTCACCCACTGTATAGTAAACTGAACTAACTAAAAAAGAAAAGGTATCCGAATTTCAGGCATTAAAGTATACAAAACAACAACATACCCAGTATATTCCCAACTAGTTGGGGTCTGGGGGGCGAGTTGTACCCAACTGGTTGGGGTCTGGGGGGCGAGTTGTACCCAACTGGTTGGGGTCTGGGGGTCAGTTGTACGCAGACCTTACCCTTGTAATTATACAAGGAGACTGTTTCCGTAGCGACCCAAGGTGCATTGTGTCGTTTGATATATATATATATA